GAGATTGAGTGACTGTCTAGTAGGTTCAATCTTGTGTGAATCTGAGGTCCCCACATCTATTGAAATTGAGTCATTTCAATAGTATACAGTGAGGTAAACATGCAGATTATAAAATCATTTATAGCACAATCTCCAATTTATATAAATATATATTTCAATTGCCTAATAGAATGACAGCAAAATATGAAGACTACTTATCTGCTGTTTATAGGATTCATGAGGAATTTTCTTTCCTATTAATTAGCAGTAATTTCTAATTTTTTCTAAACCAATATGCTTGAGTAAAATCAAATAGTTTTTTTTTTAAATTATGTGATCTGTGAATTTTAAAATAAGATACTGTGCAGCATTCAAGAGACAGAATTTAGTATATTACTAAGCCGTTTGTGCACTCCTTGATCCCACAAACTAGAACATGCTGTTCCATAACCAAATCCAGGAGGGAAAAGGCACTGTGTCATCCAAACGATGCAAACATATTTAGCCTAACAAGAAACTGGCTCATTTGAGGCTTTTATAGCACACAAGGACAGAAAGTAGTTCGCATAATTTCCGCATGCTCCTTTTATAGTGTTTATCTTTTATAAGGTTATTTGGAACAGTTGCTAGCCACCTGTCAATAATGTGGCCTTTTATAGACTCAGCTTTATATTGTTCTCGTGCCCTTGACATATAAAACACAATATTAGAAGAAGTCAGTGTTGAATATGTTGAGCAAAATACTAATTTTAAATTTAAAAGGCCTTCTTTTGTAGACTGAAATAAAGAGAGTTTAGAATGACATGAAGAGAGTAGGCATGTTGTAAAACCCTCTTTAGCAGGAGTGAAAAACTCATTTTTATCAACATTTTTGGAAAGTTAGTTAAGAATTATATTTAAAGCACTAGCCTATGGAAAAATAAGCCAAGTAGCACTCATTTAAAGTTGTTATAACAATTGTGCATAATCTTGTATCAGTTCCAACTGAAAATATTTCTATTGTGAGCCTATCAGTTACATAAATATTTGGATATCTAAACAGTCACTTCAAATTTTTTTTTAGTGGAATAAGACATCCAGCATTTCTTTCTTGGTTTACATAGTATCTGTCAGGCTAAATGTTCTACATATATATTTTTGACCTACATCCTAGAAGTATGTTTGCATGATACTAAATGAATACAATCCTACAGATCTGCATGCAGGAATACATTTCCTCTTATAAAGGGACATTATCCAAAGCCTTAAGTAAAAAGGGGCCTATCCTTTGTTTTGTGCAGTTGGAGTCCAAGTTCCTTTATGTTATAGTGAACAAGGACAATAAATGAAGCAAGTTTTAACCCCAGGGAAATTCTTTCTGTTCTTATTAAAAAGCAAACATCTCTGCATGCACACGCGCACACACACACACACACACAAACACACACACGTGAACAAACACACACCACCTTTCCAACTCCATCCCTTCCCACTCTTAGTAACAGGAGGCAGAGAGCTACAATTTACCATTATGCAGAGATATAGGAGTTCAATATCACAGTCCCCTATTGTACTTGGGAGGAGATTTCTTTGTGTTTTCCTTGATAGAGTTTGCATATTGTGCTTTCAGTTTGCCCTTTGAAACATTTGTTCTCCATGACACAGGGTAGCTAATTGGGCTAACAATCTTAGCTGTCAAGAGCAATTTTAGATGTGGTACCCTTTCTGTTCATTGTGTGATTATTTTAAAACTGCTGGAGGAAAGAAGGAGACAGCCCTTCATCGGGTCTACCATGGTAAAGATCTGATTTTTCAAAAGGGTCTGTTAATTGGACATGTGTAATACCCAAGGTGCAATGAAAAGATAAGACAGCAGTTAAAGCCTGCAAAGTGAATGAGTTTTTTTCAGGTTCACTTGTGATTATTTTGCCACCTCCACTTTGGCTGGTGCCCTCATATGTTTTATCTCCCTTCAGCCTTGCCCTAGAGGGTGTTTTTATAGATCTCCATGGAATTTTCTCAGGATTGCCTGTCTTCTGGTTTTCAATGTAAATATACTTGTAATAAAATAAGCCCAACATGTTTACCTATGCATAGATGGTTAATAGGAATCTGTGATGATATTTTTGGAATGAAAATTGAATTGTATTTGTATTTAGAATGTATGCTTTTTCTAGTTATCTAAGTAAACCATAGATATGCTTACTCATTATCAATGTATGAAATACTGTAGAAGTTTTCTTGAACTCAATTTCTTTCTTTCTGTTGGTATTGACATCAAATATATGGTACAATTAAGTATTTTTTTCTTTATTGATTAAGGTAACACATATGTGCCCTTACCCTCCCTCCAACTACCTCCCATCCCCCCCCCACTCATGCCCTCACCCCCCTGGGGAGAGATCAACCAAGTATTTTTAAGTGCCAAATTTACAATTTGCTATAAAAATTTTAAATGTTTACTTTGAGGCTAAAAGACTAACTTCTTAATAGTCCTAATCTGATTAATCAGTATAATTTCACAATTAATACAAAAGATTAGAAAACAATAAATATCAAAAAGTTCCCACAAGTTATACCTGGAATTTAGACTCTGAATTAATGCAAGACACTTACATTGTGAAATTTAGATGTAACGGCATATAACTTCTAACTTGAAAGCCTGACATAAATCTATCTTTATATGCTGTGTTTAGGGTAGGAAATAAGGATTACTGATTTGGTCAAGCACAATGGGGAAAAGGAATAAATACCAAAGATATGTGGAATTAACTGTAAAATTTTATACATATTACTATGTTCCCTTATTGAAAAGGATCCTAGGTTCTGTGATTCCTAAACTGAATATTTACAAAATATCGAGATAGCATTAACAAATTTATAAGTATATATTTTTCTTTGACACATTGAAAATAAGATTAAAATATCATCAGGCATTGCATGTGGGCAGATGTAAGAAACTCACTGGCTTTCTTACCTCAAAGTGTTGACATCAGCACTCTGGGAACACTGTTTCTGTAAATGCATTTCAAGTCCTTTATAACTTTTCACATATGGGATTCATAAAGCAATGATGTATAGGTATGCCAAATAGACAGTTTTTATTTTCATGCAATAATGGTTAGCACAATATTTTCCATTGATCTCTTTTCTATTTATAAACCCATTGTTCCATTTGTAACAAAGATAATATTATCAAATTATAAACACTTTGATATATAAATAAAAGTAAATGTTTACATTAAATATAATAAGCACATTCTTCATATTTTATTCGTTGTGGCTTAATTATTTTTAATAAGTATACCTAAGTCTTGAGCTCTAAAATCTAGGCTAAATCATAAAATTAAAAGGCAGAAATAGAATCAGAAATCAAGGTTTGGTTATTCATTCAAGATGTGAACTTGGCAAATCACTTCCCCTTCTTGTTGCTAGTTCTTTTCATTCATAGAGTGAATCTGTTGACCTCATTTAGTGGTTTTCATTTTACAGCAATAGAAACAATTTGTCAGACAAAATCTCATGCATAATCTCAAAATGTATAAAAATAAATAATAACAATGGAACTTTTCTTAAAGCAGCAACAATGCAGATTCAGGAAGGAGGGCAGAAAGGTGAGGTTAGGAGACCCTGAAGTCCAACCCTATATGCTGGTCAGCACCTTCCCATATGACCTATTAAAGATGGCTCTAGGATACATCAAATAATTTATCAAATTCCATGGAGCACATTTTGAAAATCACCCAATTATGTGATCATTATGTTTCTTTAAAATTTCAAAATTATATAATTGTCAATTTCATAAATTGAACAGATTTGTCTGTTAAAGTACTGAAGTCCTATTATCTTCCTACACAAAAAAAGAGAATAATGCATTAGGATTTCAATCTATAAAAAGGATTCAAAGGTAAAAGGCCCACATTTCACACTAGAGCCACTAACTTAAGTATCCCATCATACTGTTCTATAATACCAAATAGGTCACACCTAGGAAATGAATAGATTGAAGAAACTCCAAATAACCCTTCAATGTTCAGAAAATTGCATAGTCTTTTAATTAAATTTAAATTCTTTCATCTATTTTTATACTTCTCTGGGGAAATGAGAGAAATGATAAATTTAAAGGCAGAATGTGCTTAAATGATGATTTCCACTTTGATTGCCAGAAAGTAAACACTTCTGACAGCATACACATATAAAACTACTAGAGGCCCAGTACACGACTTTTGTGCACTCAGGGCAGGGGGGGTGGTTGGGTGCCTCAGCCCGGCCTGCACCCTTTCACAGTTTGGGAGCCCTCAGGGGATGTCCGACTGATGGCTGCAGTTGGACATCCTTACCCCGACATCCTTATCGCTGCCACGGAGGCGAGCTGCTGCACTCTCCAGCCATCAGCCCAGCTTGTGGCTGAGTGGTGCTCCCCCTGTGGGAGTGCACTGACCACCAGGGGGCAGCTCCTGCATTGAGCGTCTGCCCCCTGTGGTCAGTGTGTATCATAGCGACAGGTAGTGACACTGTTCGGTCTATTTGAATATTACCCTTTTATTCCATAATATTAGACTCTTAGTCACAATGTATAGTAATAGAAAATGAGGCAGAACAGAGCATATTCTACAAAATAGTTAATTGCTCGGGAGAAGAAAAGCCTTGGGAGACTAAGTTCTTCACATGGGTCCTTTTTCTTTCCCAGTTACTTACTTGGGTGATGGTTATGAGGCAGGAGTAGAGTTTTCACTGTGACTAATTTCTGATGTCCTCTATGAGCATAGGCTAACAACCTAAAATTAAGGAAATGACTAAAAGCAAACTTTTAATAATCCCCAAAGGACCCAGAGTGAAATTGCCCCAGCAGTTACCTGATATAGATAGTATGACGCAGTTCCCCTGAGTGCAGATCATTACTTTGCTAAAATTCTGTACGGAGACCTACTTTATCACACTTCAGGGAAGTTCCTGTACTAGATCTTGAAGTGTCTTTCTGGAACGTAAAGCAGCCTATAGTTTCCTTATGGTAGCACTGTTAACTCTTGTGTCATGTTTAGGTCCATGGGGCCGATGCATGGGAGACGATTGTGGTCCAGGAGGCATCCAGACCCGGGCGGTGTGGTGTGCGCATGTGGAAGGATGGACGACGTTGCATACAAACTGCAAGCAGGCCGAGAGGCCCAGCAACCAGCAGCATTGCTTCAAAGTTTGTGACTGGCACAAAGAGCTGTACGACTGGAGGCTGGGACCCTGGAATCAGTGCCAGCCTGTGATCTCCAAAAGCCTGGAGAAGGCCCTGGAGTGCGTGAAGGGGGAAGAAGGCATTCAGGTGCGAGAGGTCACGTGCATGCAGAAGGAGAAAGACACGCCCGCGGAGGATATCATTTGTGAGTACTTCGAGCCCAAGCCGCTCCTGGAGCAGGCCTGCCTCATCCCCTGCCAGCAGGACTGCATCGTGTCTGAGTTTTCTGCCTGGTCCGAGTGCTCCAAGACGTGTGGCAGTGGGCTCCAGCACCGGACACGCCACGTGGTGGCGCCGCCCCAGTTTGGGGGCTCGGGCTGCCCCAACCTGACGGAGTTTCAGGTGTGCCAGTCCAGCCCGTGCGAGGCTGATGAGAGCCCGCACAGCCTGCACGTGGGGCCCTGGAGCGCGTGCGGGATGCCCCACCCCAGGCAGGTGAGGCAGGCAAGGCGGCGTGGGAAGAATAAGGAACGGGAACGGGACCGAGGAAAAGCAGTGAAGGATCCAGAGGCCCGGGAACTTATTAAGAAAAAGAGAAACAGGAACAGACAGAATCGTCAAGAGAACAAATACTGGGACATCCAGATTGGATATCAGACCAGAGAGGTTACGTGTACGAACAAGACGGGGCAAGTTGCTGATTTGAGGTAACATTTCCTTACCATTAACTACTCCGTGACTCTCTGTCAAGACGTTGGGCTAGAGAGGCCTTCAGATATGCTCTGCTAACTCCTGAAACCCACGTGCACACAACCCAGGGTGCAACGTCTAGCACTTTAAGCTTTGTGGGTTTCCTGGCATTATTTCTATTTTGCTCATGCTTAGCAGTGTACAACTTGAGCTCATTTCAATTTTCTTGTTAAAATGAGAGATTCTTTGAGAGCTGATACTGCTTCTTTAGGTCAATAGTGCTGTTTACACCTATAATGGGAAAAAACAAATACATAAAGGCCAGAGTTTTGGGATTTTGAATTCAGATATTTATTTTACTTAGAATAAGACACACTTGTAATCTCTCCAAGTTTATAGTATTTTGATAATTGCCCCATAAACAAAATCTAAACAACAACCCAGGGAGCTATAGCTAAGAATAATTCTCTTCCACATTTTATAAAATGGAATAACTTTCCCCAGAGAAGAAAAGGGGAAATCAGCGGAAATTAAGATAAGCAGATGGTATTTAATCATGAGTTTTCTAGTTTAGAAAATATGTAATTAATTGACTGCATTTTCTAGACCAGAATTATTTGTCAAATTATCTCTGAGTAAATAATGACAATATTATGAAACAACTTTCTCATGTGAGCTTTATTGTGAAAATATTCATTGAGGATCATTCACTGAGGATGAGCTAAACTCGCAGCGGTTCTCAACCTGTGGGTCGCGACCCCTTTGGCAGTCGAACGACCCTTTCACAGGGGTTGCCTAAGACCATCCTGCATATCAGATATTTACATCACGATTCATAACAGTAGCAACATTACAGTTATGAAGTAGCAACGAAAATAATTTTACGGTTGGGTCACAACATGAGGAACTGTATTTAAAGGGCCAGAAGGTTGAGAACCACTGAGCTAAAGGATTTGATGTTTTTCGGATATTCTGAATTTTGCTTTTGGATAAGCCATACCATCTGGGAGTGGCTTAGGTGGATAATTTGCATAATTGCCTTTTCTGAAATATTTATGCAGTTATGATTTGGATTGAACTGAGAGAAATTATGGTAACGTCATTCAGAATTTTATTTCATATATATTGTAGAAATGACATTGAAATGTCACCTACTTCATCACACATCTGTTCTTTAATTAAAAGCATGTAAGAAACTTCTCTGCAGTCTCAACCCAGTGCTTCTGGTGAGCAGCTGGGTTGTTTTCCTTATGGCCCCTGAAAGTCCTGTAACAGATGACATTTTCCTCTTTACCTTGGCTGTTGGGAACATAATAGGACTGTGTGAAATGCATGTTGTATGCTAACATACTCCATTGGCTTCGTCTGTTTCTCATACTCATTTTTTTTCTTCGCTCATTTTTGCCTAGTGTTTTGCTGTCTACAGCTTTTGAAAGTTGGTTTGAAGCCTTTTTCATTGCAGGATATAGTGTAAACTAATGAACAAACAATTGACTTATCTAAGACAAGAATTTCTCTCAGTATAGCGTTGTTCTAGTCACTGATTTTAGGATATTTGCTACGCCCTCCCGTCTTTGGACTGACACAGTTGTATTTTCTCTCAGCCCTACAGTAATTTGCTCTTCCTCGATTTTGTGGTTGTCAGCCCAACTCCTTTCCTGGTCTTGCTAAGGGCTGCTTGCTCTCCTGCCTACATTAAAACTCCTTATGTGTGTGTGTGTGTGTTCACCTCTGATTCTGTGTCAAGTATACTTTCAAGTCAGTCCATGTTTTTATTATTTTATGACTGTCCTTATTCTGCTGATTTCTTGAGTCTCCAAGACAACTTAAGTTATCTCCTGATGTCATTGGGTTAACATGGTGTAGACATTTAATTTAATGTTGACTACTCAATTAAGAGTGTAATCAGGATAATACCTCGTACTGCATAGAGCCTCACATACCCATGCAGCTGTTCGAAATAAATATATTTAAAAATCTGTAGATCATTTATCAGGTACTTATATTAGAAATACCATATCTAATTATTCTAATAAAATGATAGTGCATGTATGTTGTAACTTATTAGGGCATAGGTGAAACGTTAGGTTCAACAAACTTGTTATTAAATTTTTCTTATTTAAGAATCTAATCTAATAAAAGAGAAACATGCAAATTGGCCACACCTCTGCTATGCACCAAGCCACACCCACCAGCCGATCAGAGCGACTATATGCAAATTAACCCAACCAAGATGGCGGCTGGCAGCCACGGTGCTGGAGCAAGCAGAAGCCTTGGTTGCCCCGGCGATAGAGGAAGCCAAGCTTTGTGCCTGCCCTGGCCCTCTGTGGCCTCCACACAAGGCAACAAAGTTTCAATTATAGAAGATAAATAAATCCCAGATACCTGCTTCCAGCCAGCCTCCACTAGGAGCTTGGGTGGCTGGGGGCCGTGGCCAGCCTGCAAATAGCCATCAGCCCCTCACCCACGATGGCCACACCCTCATCCCTCATGGGTGAGGGTCCCTGCTGGGGGGCTTGGCCAGCCTGCAAACAGCCATCAGCTCCTCACCCAGGCTGGCCAGGTACCCCAGTGGGGACCCGCCCCCCCCTGAAAGGTCTGTGGACAACCTGTAAACAGCCAACAGCCCCTCACCCATGCTGGCCAGGCACCCCAGCGGGGACCCCCCACCCTGAAGGGGCTGTGGCCAACCTGCAAACAGCCAACAGCCCCTCACCCAGGCTGACCAGGCACCCCAGCAGGGACCCCCACTCTGAAGGGGTTGTGGCCAACCTGAAAACAGCCATCAGCCCCTCAAAAAGGCTGGCCAGGCACTCCAGCGGGGACCCCCTCCCTGAAGGAGGTGTGGCCAGTCTGAAAACGGCCCTCAGCCCCTCACCCATGCTGGCCAGTCAGCCCAGCAGGACCCCCACCCCCTGGTGATCAGTGTGCTCCCACAGGGGGAGCTCTGCTCTGCCACAAGCCAGGCTGACGGCTACCAGTACAGCAGTGATGGTGGGAGCATCTCTTGCCTCCTCAGCAGTGCTAAGGATATCCGACTGCAGCTTAGGCCTGCTCCCCGCTGGCAAGTGGACATCCCCCAAGGGCTCCCGGGCTGCCAGAGGGATGTCTGACTGCCAGCTTATTCCCAATCCCCCGGGAAGTGGGCCTAAGCCAGCAGGTGGTCAACCCCCCAGGGGTCCCAGACTGCAAGAGGGCACAGGCCGGGCTGAGGGACCCCCCCTTCCCCCAGTACACAAATTTTTGTGCACCGGACCTCTAGTTATATATAAGAATATACTTGAATAAGCATATATGATTAGGAAAGTTAATGTGTTAGTAAAGAAGAGACAAAAACAAGGCATTTTGCCCTAAATTTTGCTCAAATATTAGAGTACAACAGTTGAGCTTCTAAAATGAAAAGTAAATGGATCACACCATCAAAACACAAGGCCACAGATTATGGACTCAGTGATTAAACTTAAAGTGTCTCCTCATATCAAATTGAGAAAAAAATTTATCATGAAAGAGGGTGAAAAATTAATTACTATGGCTTAAAAATCTTATTACAATAACTAAATGAATTTAGATAAATAAGCCTATGAGTATTGTTGAAATAGTTTGTAGGCAAATAAAAACTTTATCAGACTTACTGCTAGAACTTCCAAGTTAAAGAAGATAGATCTGCCCTGCTTCTGTTTTATAAACAGACTGAAATCAATAAGAATAAAAATGCAAACAGAAATCCCATTCTTTTATGTTAATAAGAAACAATCATAGTCCCAAACCACTACTGGCAGAGAAGATTTGGAGAATGTGGTAAAATTAGATGGAACTGAGGGATGAAACTTAGAGCAGCACTATGTCTTTGCAGCTTTTATGAACTCAAAATCTCTGAGTAGCCTGAACTTTCTAAGGGGCCAAGCCAATGATACCACCTTGTGCATGGCCTGGTCTGTGTTAGTGAATGGGCTGCCGAAGAGTCTCTGAGTTCTGTTTGAAGACAGAATGGCATAATAGACAGGCCTGAACAAGGAAACTCACTGTGCTGTTACCACCAAGGAGAGGCTATCTGTTTGAGGGATTGAGGGATTAAGGTTTGATGACCAGTGTATGGGAAATCTATCTTCCTCGCAGTTTTGTTGGACACCTAAAACTTCTCTAAAATAAAAAAAACTGTTAAAAAAACTGAGTAAAACATGAAGAGGAGAATGGTTTTGTAACCCCTAAAATACTGACATTTTGGAGTATTTTTCTATCATTTTGTTATCAGTTTTATTTTCTTATATCTTTATTTAAATTCAGCCTTACCATTTCAAATAGTAATGAATAATATGCAAGTCGTTTTCTATTTTTTTTAAACTTAATGATTTTCTGACATACTCTTTCAACTTCAAGATTAAATCTGTTAAGCAGTAAATTGTATTTCTTTTCAACACAATCAGTCTCTTCATTTCTGATTCCTATTTTACCTTAGAATACTAGTTGTTGGCCCTGGCTGGGGAGTTTAGTTTGTTAGAGCATCATCATGCTACACCATGATTTCAGATTCAATCTCTGGTCAGTGCACATACAAGAATCAACCAATGAATGCATGAACAGGTGGAACAACAAATGGGCCTTTCTCTTTCTCTCAATCAATTTTTTTAAAATATATATTTTATTGATTTTTTACAGAGAGGAAGGGAGAGAGATAGAGAGTTAGAAACATCAATGAGAGAGAAACATCAATCAGTCGCCTCCTGCACACCCCCCACTGGGGATGTGCCCGCAACCAATGTACATGCCCTTTACCAGAATCGAACCTGGGACCTTACAGTCCACAGGCCGATGCTCTATGCTCTGTTCACTGAGCCAAACCGGTTACGGCTCAAATCAATTTTTTTAACAAGGAAAACTAGTTGTTAACTACTCTATTTTTTTCTTTAAGGATTGCGCTCCAGAACAGAGATATAAAAGTTTGAATATAAAACTATTGGATTTACAAAGGCCTGAAAATTCATTGAATCAATAAGAGAGGAATTTAAGTAATGGATAA